AGGGCCCCTACTCACTTCTCCCTTTATGTGACCATTCTACAACCTCCCTCAAGTAGAGAGGGCCTAAATTCAAATGCCAGTGACCCTGGGCAAGGCAGCATCTTTGTAAGCCTCTGTTTCCTTGCCTGTGGAATGGTGATGGTGCCTCCCTCACAGAAATCTTAGAAAGATTAAGTACATGGTAAACTACAAATATTAATTTCTTTTTTTTTTTTTTCTTTGTAGTTTTTGGCGGGGGCTGGGTTTGAACTTGCCACCTCTGGCATATGGGACCGGCACCCTACCCTTTTGAGCCACAGGTGCCGCCCACTAATTTATTTCTAAATGCTGGTTAACCAGCTTTCAGAAAAACAAAACAAAGCAAAATCCTGATTAAGAAGAAATATGCACATTCACAGGCTGACAGAGGCCAGCTTCAGCACACCAGGACAGGAGCCGTCATAACAAGCCACTTTTACTTCCACATAACACTGACGGACAACAGAGAACACTGCTTGCACAATGGAGCCACCTATGGTTCAGAGAAAGTACCATCTACTGATCCTGGGATCCTACATCTTTGCCAGTGTGGATAAAACATGCTGGGAAGTGAACACCAGAGTCCTAGCTATAATCATCACCACCAGCAGTGGCTGCCTGGTCCATAATAGGAGCCTAGATGGTGTCCTCTAGCAAGTGGTGCTCTGACCCACAACCCTTCCATCCCGGCTCCTCTGAACTCACAATTGGCATTTTTCCATCTACAAAACAAGGCTGAATAATCCCCTTGTTGGATGTCTAGCCACCTTCCACGCTGATTTAGCAAGTACTTACTAAGGGCCAACCACATTTTCGGCACATTCACGGATGCCAGGAAGACAACGGAGAGCTATAACTCTAGCCTTCCACTCAGAGGGCTGATGATATGGTTGTAGAGATAGACAATAAACAAGCAAACTATTTAAAATACTGATCAGAGCTACTAGTGTGAGGTGATGAGAACAGGCCAGGGAAGGGACAGTGACAGCAGGTGACCAGAAGACAGAAACTGGAGGAAGGTACAGATGGAAGAGTTCTGAGATGGCACCTGCCCTGTGCGATGCAGTCCCTGGGGTCAGGTAGGACTTGGGATGTGCTTCTCACCAGCAGAATACAGCAAAGGTGAAGGGACTTTGCAGATGAAATTAAGGTCCCAAACCTGCTGACTTTGAGTTAATGAAAAGGAAGATTATCGTATGTGGGCTTGCCTTATTCTGGTGAACCCTTTAGAGGAAGTTCCAGGCCCTTCCTCAAGAGGGGAGAATGGAAGCAGGAGAGGCACCCTTGGCTGGCCTGAAGGAGTTAACAGCCGGGGTGGAGCAGGAGTGGCCTCTGGGAGCCAAAGGCCTCAATCCTTTGGTTAATTATACATTTGTAGCACATTTCTCCACAGATCTTAAGTAGACAAATATTACCCTTAATGGGAAGAAAATGTTCTTTTCAAAAATGACCCTCTTGTAGGACGTGGTGGCTCATGCCTAAGCAAGAACTCATCTCTACTAAAAAAAAAAAAAAAAAAAAAAAGAAAAGAAAAGAAAAAGAAAATAACTAGGTAAGCATTATGGTACATGCCTATAGTCCCAGCTACTTGGGAGGCTGAGGCAAGAGGATCACTTGAAACCAAGAATTTGAGGTTGCTATGAGCTATGATGCCATAGTACTCTAGCCTAGGCCAAGAGAGTAAAACTCTATCTCCAAAAAAAAAAAAAAAAAAAAAGATTCACTGACAGGCCATTGGATTCTTAATTTACCCGATCTTTTTCTTTCTTGTGTTCCTGTTGAAGAGCTTGAACTCGTGCTGTCCACTTGCTTTCCTGCAAAAGAAAAAAGAACTATGCACAACTATCCCAATAAAACCTACCCCAAATGGAAGGCTACTTTTCAGTAAGTACCTATGAAATCTAAATATCTGGTGAAATTTCAGCTGGCATTTTTTAGTATTGTATCTGGTAGAAAATGTTTAAATGCAGTTGTACCTGGTTTTAATCTTATATTGTAAGGGAGGGGTCACCAAAGATTTTCTATCAAGAAGCTAATAGTAAATAGTATATTTTAGGCTCTGGGGGCCAAAAAAACCCAGTCTCAATTACTGGTAGTGAGAGAACAGGCCTATGTAAGGTACAAGTTGGCTATGGTGACTCACGCCTATAATCTCAGCACTTTGGAAGACCTAGGAAGGCTTGGTTGAGGCCAGAAACTCAAAGCCAGCCTGAGCAAAATAATGAAACCTCATCTGTACAGAAGATTTTAAAAATTAGCTAAGCGTGGTGGCATGCACGAATAGTTCCAGTTCTTGGGAGGCTAAGGCAGAAGGATCGCCTGAGCCCAGGAATTCCAGGTTACAGTGAGCTGTGACTGCACCACGGCACTCCAGACTAGCTGACAGAGCAAGACATTGTCCCTCCTCCCCAAAAAATAAGTTAAAAACATACAAAAAGATGCAAATGAGTGTGGCTGAGTTCTAATAAAATTTTATTTACAAAAATAGGTGCTAATTTGCTAACCTAAGGGACCAAAAGGAAACACCAAGTTTTCTGAGTCCATGGGTTCCAAACCAACATCACAGCAGGGAGCAACAGAAGGACTTTAGACAGGACAGGGACACGGTCAGCCTGGCTGCCAAGGTGAAGGCAGACTTGGTAGAGAACAGCAAGACGCAAGCATGGAAGCAAACAGTAGCATCCCTATTTCTAAAACCCCTTACCTTTTTTATAATGACTCAGGCTTATTTTTTTAATGTTAAATAAAAATTTAAACAAATTGAATAAAATTTAATCTCTACTTGCTTCCTGGATTAAAAAAAAAAAAATCCTAGCACTCTGGGAGGCCAAGGCGGGTGGATTGTTTGAGCTTAGGAGTTCGAGACCAGCCTGAGCAAGAGTGAGACCTCATCTCTAAAAATAGCTGGGTGTGGTGGTGGGCACCTGTAGTCCCAGCTACATGGGAGGCTGAGGCAAGAGAATCTCTGAGTCCAGGAGTTTGACGCTGTGTGCTGTGACACCGTAGTTCTCTACTGAGGATGACAAAATGAGACTCTGTCTCAAAAAAAAAAAAATTGTTCCTCTAAACCACTGTGACCAAAATAACCCTTGTGAAGACTGTGCTGACAACAGAGGTTCCCTTCCAAATAAAGTCATTATGTTTGATAAATGTAAAAAATCTTCAGTTCACCAATGTAGCAGTATATTTAAGCTCTGAAAAGATATGGGGTGCTTTAATGCCTTTCTGCACCTTTGGAAATGGAGATCTACATCTCAAATAGGAAAGCACGAAACCAAGGTAGTCCTAGCTAATTCAAGTTCGCATTACAATAGGGAAGAAAGAAAATAACTTTGCCAACTCTTGTGAATCCACATCTATTAGCCCACAGCAAGCGTGTCCTGAACACCTCTTACACATTTTAGGTGCCAAGAAAAAAGGAGCTAGGTGTGTTCATGGGCACTAAAAGAGCCATTTTTTCTGCAGACGACGTTCATTATAAATTACTCCATTAAGAAAAGAAAGGCGCCTACTGCAGCCGGCGCCTACTTCTACTACCTGATTATCAAGAAGCTGCATCACATTTTGGAAATCCTGGGGATACGGCGAACGGTCTTCTTTAAACTCGTGTGCATCTTTCAGTGTGCCTATGTTGGACTTGATCTGCATATTGGACTTCTGGATTTCTGACAGTTGCTGTAAGATAACATTCAAGATCACAAGTGTCAGACTTTGGTTAAGACTGGAGCAGAGAACAAAACTGGGGTGCATGCAGCCCTCTTCACAGCTGACTTTCCTCCTGGATACTCCTCCTTCCTCGTGGTTCAAATGGCTTGTTTCTATTTTCTGGTTTTCCCATCAGAATATGCACAGGGTGTAAAAGGGAAAGGAAAACCTAACCTTCTTAGACAATGGGCCTGAAAAAATTTGACGAGCACCAGACAGAGGCCAGAAACAGAAAACCTGGGTGCAGATAGCTTCTAAGATGATTTTGTGAGAGGCCAACAATGTCCAGGAATAATATCAGTGGGGACATAATATTTTAATTTTACCCTTTACCTTTGATGTTGCTCCCAAAGTTACTTGTAACCAAAATTCTCAGAAAATCATAGAAGGTAAACTTGAACAAGAAAAAGTTAGAGGAGCATATTTCTTTACTCCTTAGATATGGGCTGCTCACAGTGACTTCATTTTAAAAAGTATAATATGAGTTGGGCACAGTGGCTCATGCCTATAAGGCTTAGGAAAACCAAGGCAGGAGGATTATTTGAGCCCAGGGGTTTGAGACCAGCCTGGGCAACATAGTGAGACTCCATCTCAAAAAGTAAAATTAGCTGGGCCCTGGTGGCACAGGCCTGTAGTCTCAGTTAACCGGGAAGCTGAGGCCAAGTGAATTACCTGAGCCTAAGAGGTGGAGGCTGCAGTGAACTATGATGGTGCCACCTGTATCAAATGGTGCAACAGTGTAAGACCCTGTCTCAAAAATAAATAAATAAATAAATAGTGCACAAAGGGTGGGAAGAGAGACACTTTTCAGTGGAGGAACCTGACAGACACCATCTCATCCAGGTATTAATAGTTTGACACTAGGTCTCAGACAAAGCATTCAACTCTATCACTGCAGCACAAAAGTACCACAGATAGAAGTGTCAAAGAGTACTCTCACATTAACCCGAAATAAATTGACTAATAAAGGAAAAAGGAAGTATAAATGAATGAGCATGGTTGTGTCCCAGTAGAACTTCATCTAAGGTCACTGAAATGTGAATTTCATATAATTTTTACGTGTCACTTGAAAGCCTTCTTTTTTTTCAACCAATTAAATACATAAAAACCATTCTTAGCTCTTAGGCCATATGAAAACATGTGGTATGCCAGATTTAGTCCATGGGGCTTATGAGGTTTGTCACTCTCCATGCTGGAGTTTAAGGAGTTTTAGAGAGAGACCTAGGCGAATTCTAAAAATATCTCTCTATTTTCATTTATATAGAACTTGTCAGACCCTAGAGGGAGCTCAAGGACCTTCGAAAACTGCAGGTGAGCTTGTAATTCTCGTGGGAGGTCACTGATTGGCTGCTTGGGCATCTCCCTGTATGTGACCAGGGCAGGGTGGACCGGGGCTGCTCCTCCAGGGAGCAGGGCAGCTCATTCAGTCTGGGTGAGGAGGGGGCCAGGCAAAGGTTCTCTTTCTGTCTTTCAGGGTCTGCTTCCTCCTTCTCACACAGACAGTGGGAAATTCCAAAACTCAGAAAGGAGATAATGGTTCAAGGCTAACCTAACCAGATAAGAAAAAAAAGGACCTTCTTCTATGATCTGACCAAATGCGCCCCATGAGTATTCAACCAGGGGGATTGGGCCAAACTCCCACCTTTAGCAAAAGGACATCTCTGCCTTGCTGTGTCTCCTGTGTGCCTCACACTCCCTCAAGACTCTTGGGGGGCGGGGGGGAGTCTACACCAGGGCATGGTAAAGGATCCTGTATCCTCTGGCCACAATACCTACCTAACACCACCTCTCAAGGCAACCAAGACCATGAGAATTCCCACCTGTAATTACTTACATATTCTAAAGCTGAATTCTTAGAAGTTAATTCTTTAAACTCCTTCATGAACATCTCCTTGACCTTTTCCATTTCATCAACCAGTTTCTCCTTTTCTTCCTCTTTCCATCTATCAAATAACTTCAGAAAGTCTTCCTCTTTTGTTTTCTGCATTTCATATTCCTAAAATTATTTTAATATATGGCTTTAAAAGTTCTGGTATGAGGCAAATATGCAATATTTAAAATAAATGATCATAGGTTCACCTCAAATGTGTTGGCTAGTATTGCTTATTTGAGTTAGGCTTATGATAAATAATACTTCCTATAATGGCAGATCTGTGCACCATGATTTTTTTAAACTAAAGGCAGCACACACCATCCTCCTGTTCTTACATCCCTTAAAACCAACAAACACAGGGCGGCGCCTGTGGTTCAAAGGGGTAGGGCACCAGCCCCATATACTGGAGGTGGCTGATTCAAATCCAGCCCCAGCCAAAAACTGCAAAAAAAAAAAAAGAAAGAAATTAAAAACCCAACAAATACAGAGGCCATAGGTCTCCAGCTTCTGTCTTCTGTGAACTTGTATAGAAGTCATATATTAGTTTGTAAAATACAAACATACTATCTTGGGTAGAGTAACCCCCTCCCACCTAGAAAGACTAGACTCAGGTTTATGGGCACCAGATTCAAGGCCTAGTCACTCAGCACTTGATTTCTCAATGACAAGACTTTGTTACTCTAAATTGAGGACTTGACAACACTATGAACTAACTAGATCTAACAAGTATACATAAAACACTGTCCCCCCAAACATCAGAGTGTGCATTCTTCTTAAACGCCTGTGGAACACCCACCAGGAGAGACCAAATGTTAGTCCATAAAGTGTTCCTAATGTTTAAAAAGATGAAAAGCATGCGAGGAATCTTCTCTGATCTCCATAGAATAAAACCAGAAATCAACAACAGAAGGAAAACTGGGAAGTAGTAAATACATGGAAATTAATGAGAAAGTCTCACCAAAGAAATTAGAAAATGCTTTGAGATGAATGAAAATGAAAATACAGTATACCAAAACTTATGGGATGCAGCAAAATCAGTGCTCATAGGGAAATGTACAGCCATTAAAGGCTACACTGAAAAAGAAGAAAAGATCTTAAATCAACAATCTAACTTTATAGCTTAGGAAACTAGAAGAAGATGAACAAACCAAACCCAAAGCCAGCAGACGGAAGGAAGGAATGAAGATGAGAGCAAAGATGAATTAGAAAACAGAAAAGCAAAAGAGGGAATCAATGAAACCACAAGGTATAACTTTGCAAAGATCAACAAAACTGACAAACCCTCAGCTGCTCTGAGAAGTCAAGTGAGGACATTGCTATTGACCACAGAGAAATTAAAATGATTGTAAGAGAATACAACGAACTTGTACAACAAGTTAGATAATCAGGATAAAATGGTCAAATTCCTAGAAACACAAACATTACCAAAGCTGACTCAAGAAGAAAAAGAAAGTCTCCACACATTTTTAACAAGTAAAGAGATAAAGTCAGTAATCACAAACTTCCCCAAATAGAAAAGTTCAGGACCTACTGGCTTTACTGACAAAATTTAACAGACATTTAAAGAAACTCACATAGAAAGAATCTACAAAAAAAAAAAA